TTTTAGTCCATTTTGTGTTGCTGTAACAGAAATACCTGAGACTGGGTAATTTATAAAGAAGAGAGGCTTATTTGGCTTACGATTCTGGAACAGTTGCATCTGGCACGGGCCTCAGGCTGCTTCTACTCACGGCAGAAAAGTGGCAGGCAGCCGGCNATAATGTGTATCTTTCTGTGAACTTTGTGAAGACTCCTCACTTATATATCACATTTTCTTTATCTGCTCATCCACCGAAGGACATCTAGGTTGTTTTCATATCTTGGCTGTTAAGAATAATGCTGCAGTGAACATGGGAGTGCATATATATCTTTGCAATGCTGATTTCAGTTTCTTTGGATATATACTCAGATAGTTTTCCATAATTTACATTACCGTCAGCAGTGAACAAGGGTTCCCTTTTCTCCACATCTTATATTTCTCTGATGATTAGAGATGCTGAGTAACTTTTCATATAACTGTTAACCATTTGAATTTCTTCTTTTAAGAGTCTATGTAGGTCCATGGTTCATTTTTTAATCAGGTTATCTGTTATTTTTGATATTGAATTGTAAGAGCTCCTTATATATTTTGGGTTTTAACCCCTTATCTAATGAATTATATGTGAATTACATCTCAGTGAAGCTGTTACACTCCTCCCCCTTCACAAAAAAAAATTCTATGAAGAGAAAGGGTTAAAATCCCACCTAACTGAGCCTCACCTTTATTCTGTAAAATGGGGTGGTCTGAGAAAGGCAGACAAAAAATGCTTAGCATGGATCCTGGTATGTGATTTTTTTCAATAAATGGTAACATTTATTTCATTAACTTTTTTTAAAAAAAGGAAACAAAACTAAAGATTAAGAAACAGATCGTTCTGGGCCGGCCCGTGGCTCACTCGGGAGAGTGCGGTGCTGATAACACCAAGGCCCCGGGTTTGGATCCCACATAGGGATGGCCGGTTCGCTCACTGGCTGAGCGTGGTGCTGACAACACCAAGTCAAGGGTTAAGATCCCCTTACCGGTCATCTTTTTAAAAAAAAAAAAAAGAAAAGAAATAGATCGTTCTTTAATAAAGGGGTAAGTGCCTTTTGGGTTACACTAATAGCTACACTAATTGGTTGGATTTATTGTCCGACTCCTGCCATCACAGCCAATTGTATTGCTAAAGCAATTCATAACTGAAGCCAAAACATTTAATTATTTTAGTTATACTAAGTTTCCATTTGTATTGTTCAGGCTAGGGCTCAGACCCTTCAAATCCATTGTACACACTGGGTCACCAGACCCCTCACATGCCAGGCTGGGTCATAGACCCCTCACACGCAGGTCCATGCTAGGTAGTTGGGAAAGATCCTGGGAGCCTTTGGCAGGTGACACAAGCTCAGTCCTCAGCAGTAGCAGCAGCAGCGGTGGTGGCCTCTCGGGGCATCCCAGGGGCACTGGCAGTAACAGCCTCCAGCAGCAGTAGCAGCCTCCCCATGCCTCCCATCCTCCCTGGGGGCAGGGGGGGGGGGGTCCCGTGGATCAGAGCCACTTGTCCTTTATACTTAAGTCCATAACCCAGGACACTGGGTGCACGTGCAATTACATTAGACAATAACCAAGGAACACCTGGGTGCACGAGCATATTTACATCAAATGGTTGGCAAGATTCTGAATATCTGAGGGACCCTGACCATTTTCCTTCACTTTCTCTACAGTGCCCCATTTAGATCCAGTTATTTATCCATATTTACGGCACAAGGGCTCTTTCTGCTAGATTGAATTAAAATATTTATATTTTAAATATTTCAGAGGAAATAAGACCCTTGATGGATGTGGTCTACAAATTATATAACTAATAGCTGAATATAAGTTAATTTTGAGAACTTAATACAATTTGAGACTGTTCCTCTCTCCATCCAAGATTCATACTTCCAAAAGAAACAATCAGCCACCAAATAAAAGTCCACTCTTCAGTCCTACAAAAAATAAGGAGCAAAGACTTCCTCTGTTGTCTTCTTAGATATGAAAATAGCTTTAAACTCAGCAAATGAAGCTAGTCTTTGTTTCTGCCCCATCGGTCTCACAGTACCACTGCCAGGTTATTTACAACTGCTATCATGCTTAGACCAAGAGTTCACAGGTGATATCAATATGATTGTTGTTCGGTCAATATGATCTTCAGTAGGCTGCATCTGACACATTTTCCTAAATGAAGAGCAAAAGTGATTGTCGTCCTTTCTTTTTGGATGCATCGTGATGGAATGAAAAAGATCTGGGTTGTAATTCAGAACACCTAAATTTTATTGCCATTCACCTAAAGTGGGACCCTAACTAGTCCACTGAACCTCTCTGAGACTTAATACACTTGTCTACACACTGATAATATCGATCTTGCTTACCTAAGAATTAAGATCAAATGAAATGCAGTGTGAGAAAATATACTGTAATGCATAGTACAAATGAGAAAGTTACTACACTTTCCCTAATCTCAAATAAACCTGTTCATTTTCAGACAGAGAGGGAGGATAGTCTGAAGGCAAATAGACTGCAAGAGAAATCAGTAAACTGTATGAGAAGCTGCTGAGAAAGAAAATTTCTTTTTATATATTTTTTTCTGTTTCATGACCTGATTTTAGGATCAGACTCTCAACCTCAACACCACTTTTAAAAAGACACTTGTCGGGCCGGCCCGTGGCTCACTCGGTAGAGTGCGGTGCTGCTAACACCAAGGCCACGGGTTCAGATCCTATATAGGGATGGCCGGTTTGCTCACTGGGTGAGCGTGGTGCTGACAACACCAAGCCAAGGGTTGAGATCCCCTTACCGGTCATCTTTAAAAAAATAAATAAATAAATAAAAATAAAAAGACACTTGTCATATAAAACTGTGTGTGTGTGTGTAACTGCTATGGGTTGAATTTTGTCCCCTAAGAAAGAATTGTTGACTTCCTAATCCCTGGTACCTCAGAATGTGACCTTATCTGGAGATAGTCTTTACAGAGGTAACTAAGTTAAAATGAAGTCATCATGGTGGCCTTCTATGGTAGCCCTTTTTATAAAAACTGGTTTCCTTATAAAAAGGGGAAGTTTAGACAGAGACGCACACACACACAGGGAGAACGCCAGGTGAGCATGAAGGCAGAGACTGGGGTGATGCATCTGCAGGCCACAGGGTACAGGAGTGCCAGCGAACCTCAAAGAGCTGTGGGAGCACGGAGCAGCCTCCCTCATGGTCCTCAGAAGGAACAGCCCTGCTGACACCTCAGTCTCAGAGTTCGAGTCTCCAGAATCCTGAGATGAAAAAGTTCTGTTGTTTAAGCCGGGGCCCACCCAGCGCGCTTCCTGGAGCCTTCGGCGTCCGCGTCCCCTGCGGTGCCCCGAGGGCGGGCGCCTGTGACACTGACGAGTTGCGCAAAGGGAGGGGGTGGGGCACCCTCTGGGTCCGTCCTCGCTCGTCTGGGTGGTCTGTGCCAGGGCGTCCTTGGAGTGGGGAAGGCGGTGGCAGGGATGGGGGCTCTTGTACGGTCCCGTCTGCCCGGCGT